TGATATATTAGGATTCAATCATGAAAACTATCTACTGTTTCACAAGATAGTTGTATTATGTCCTACTTTATGTTGTATGTATATGGGACTGCTCTATAACAGTCACAAGGCAAAGATATTTCTGGATAGTTGTGATCCAATTTTCTAATTAGGTGGCTACACTGAGAAGATGATTGTGAAAGCAGTTTTAGTGTTTTCAGGCTAATTTTTTCTGTCTTAAAAAAATCACAGCTTGCTGACAAATTCTCATCCTTCCTTCTGCATTTATTTTAATGGTTGCTAATTGTGTGCATATATTGTTGGTCTACAATCCACCACTGATGACCATCCATAAGCTTTTAAACAGTATTCTTTATATTTAATCTACCATCTTTATCTAAGTACAGTTTTATTTACTTATTTTAATGTAAAGCACAACAATATGTTAGCATGACTATTAGAATATATTCACTGTCCAGAAATTATTTTATTTCCTGTTACAGTTAATATTTTTTTTTCATCTTCATACTGAATTTTGTCTCATTATTCTTATGTGCAACAATAAGGTAGCACCACAACTAGAGTATCATCTATTTTCCAGACATTATTTTGTTTCCTGTCACAGTTAATAAAGCATTTTTCTATCTTGATATTGAGTTTTGTGTCTTTCAAGTGCAATAAATCACTACATCTGTCCTTCCACATATTTCACATACTAGATTAATGAATCTCATTATTGTGAAGATTAGATGAAAGTGCGATATAATAATCTTTGAAATACCATGGCTTACCCTGATAGATATATTTTAGTGCCACTGAACAGGATCTAGTTATTGCATAAGTGGTAATCTACTCTTATGAGGTAACTTCCAAAATATGTCTCTGCAATCTTGCAGAACTTCACTCTTTTTCTAAACACTGAGATGTCTGAACTGTAATCTGATTAATCCAGAACCACTATTGATGTCAACTGTTCTTATGCAAATCATTCTAGTCCAAAGAGAATGGTTAAAAGTCACTTATGCCAGTGACAGTGTCGTAGTTGAGAACTCAGTGTCCGAGATCAAGACCGAGACCAAGACTGAGACCTTAAGGGTCGAGATCAAGACCTCGTAGTAAATTACACAATAAAAAATTAAAGCAAGAATAATAAAAATCATATGCGTCAAACAAACTTTATTAACATCTTAACCACAAATCTTTTACAAGTTAACCCCACAGTCTTTGTTTTAACATTTCCTCCTATGAAAAAAAAAATCAAAATGGTCAGCAAAAAAACAAAAGAAAAACTGTTGTTGTTTTTCAAGAGTTTATGGTGTCAGTGAATTCTTTAAGATCTTTGAAGCTGAACAGGATCACAGCAGATTTACTAGACATGTTGAATATCAGAGATAATCGCTAACATTTAACATAAATATGTGCACCAGATGAAGTTCATACAAACTTTTGAATAGCACGTTATAATTGCAGATTGACATACAGGTAATACGGAAGTTGGTGATGTAAGCAAAAATAAGGGAGGCAATATAAATGTCATTGCAAAGGTGTAGTATCAACTAACAAGTGGATTTTACTAGTAAAAGATCTTTCATGCTATATCGCACCTCGTATAAACTGTGCATAATCACTATTTAACACTTAGTAATCCTGGTTAGGTCTAAGTACTGGTAATACTTTTAAATTTAGCCAGTCTCAAAGACAAGATCTGTAAAACATTGAAACAAATGGTTTGAGATCAAGACCTTCCAAAGAATGGTCTCAAGACCTACAGCACTGGCCACTGATAATGTAATTGGAGCAGTTTGTTGCAGGCACTTTATAGTATGGAATATTCAACTGCAAAATATATGCTAACAGCTTTTGATCACTGATACTGTACAACCAAAAATAAAGTGGTTGCAGTTGTTGTGTTTGTCTTGTTTTACACTAGAAAGTTCATTTTATAAGTGGGTCATACATCACTGAAATGGCTGACAAAGTTTCAAATCTATAAAAGGTATGATTTTACATTATATGACAATGCTGAGAGTATTTTACTGTGCAATAACACTCAAGACAAAAGCATGCCCTTTAATTGAATATCAAGACTCTGGACATCATGTAGAAGTAAAAGCCTTTGCAGTGACAAGGAACCATATGATAAGAGACAATTCTGCTTGTGGATAGATAGCATTAATGGAGAGCTAGTGATTTTGGGAATACCAAATATAGAAACAAGTCACTGTTAGGGAACTACATGCCATGCATCAATATTAAACATGACCATCATCCACTGGCAAAAGTAGAAGCAGCACTAGGCACTGGAACACAGGAGTTGTGCCATGAATCCCCAGTTGGTGTCTTGAAAAATCAGAATAGAAAACCATGATCAATATCATACTGAAACACTTAAAACTCCTGTGCCTGTGGGTCCAAGTCCCAAATCTTTTATTACCTAGTGATGCCTCTGGTCATACACCATAGCAAACACAATTTTTTTTCCTTGCTGTATTCACATAAAGATGTTGAGAAAGGGTGTAAACACAACACTGTGTGAAGCTTCCTGTGCAATATATGCTAAATATATAGGACAGAAGAGAATGTCAGGCAAGATTCTATGACATTATTGGTTGATTTTGACCCATAACGATAAATGAGAACCTTAACATATCAATTGGCTAAAAGGAATTTGTAATTTTTACTTTTTGAGTACTCAGGTTATGTTTTGTGGTGAATGCTTACCATAGAAACTTTCTAAGCAGACTTGCAATTTTGCATTATTTGTGCCTATTTATCTGATAAGTACATACCAATTTTCATGAAGTGTAGTATGGTATATAGGCATACTACATGTTTCCTATCTCCCTTATTTAATATAACATTTCTTTAAAATTTCCACATCTACAGTGAATGTAGTTTTATTATAAAATGTTGGTCACGGGAGTGGCTGAGTTAATTTTGCTCAAGTTACCTACTGAAATAGTCACTCAACTAGGTGTAACATGTACTTTCTCATGAGAAATATGTGTAACACTTTGAGCATGCTAAATCAAAATAGATAGCGATCTTTTGCACTGGCAGGTCGGGTGATAGTTCAAGGATACAACTTCCCTTATTTTTGGGAATGATCAACAATCAGATGGATAGTGTCTACGCTCTGAGAAAAACAGTATTATTGTGATGTATATAAAATGCTATATTTTCTCAGTCTAGAAAAGTATTAAAGCTAATTACTTAATATGATACAGATTCATTCGAACTCTATCCAGTAAAGGCACTCAAGGATACACTTGTCTAAACTCTGATTGTTCTTCCACATTGTTTCCAGTCTTATTGTTTTCTATAAATTCAGTTGAGTTTGAAGAATTCAGATTTGCTCCTTAAGACATTCTCTAGCAGATCTTCTGTTTTTCTGTGCCCAATAACTCTAAGACAAATCAGCATACCTGAAAATACCACAGTAGTATGGAAGTTATGCTGTAACACATCATGAGAAATTAATGTTGACTGAGTAAATCATAGCAAAATACCTATCATTTTGCTAGGATTTTGTATGCAGTTATTTTTCATGTTTATCTGATGTAGTAGGTTTTCACAATTCCTAGATGGCAGTGCTGGTGGGAAAGTAAGTGATTTGGGTTGATTGCTGTGTTGTAATGGTGAAAGTGATTTTACTGTCATTCTTGGTACTTCTACTACATCTGTAGCTGATGATACAAAATATAATACGGGTAAATGATTGTACAAGGAACAGTTATTTCTATATATTTCCATTTGTGATTACTTTTATTTTAATGATTTCATTCAAGTTTATTAGTCTTTAGGTGGTATTGAAGAGCTGTACATGCAACTTAGCAGGTGTGGAGAGCATGAATACATTAGAGATGTTTAC